CAGATTTCCTCATCATCATTATCAGAGATCTTTTAATAAAAAGGTGAGTTACATTTGTACTAATAGCACCTATGGATTAGTAGAATATTTCTACTGAAGTATACTTACGGTAGTCTAATGCAATTGCTGCAATCTGATTGGCTGAGTTATTGCACAGTATCACCTATCAGTGTGCAGTGGCTTGACGTGATCACCAGAATGGCAACATTTTGTTGTTTCTCGGGGGTTTTGAAGGAACATTTAAAAACAAATGGATAACCAAAAAAACAAAATTAATGGATAGCCAAACCTGAGAAGAGTAAAAGTAGGACATTCATGGTTTCTCGAATTAAAAACTCAAAAGTGTTAAATGAAAATGATGAGTGCACATGCACAAAAATGACTTTCAGTTCGCATGATTTTTTTAAAGTGTGGATGAGAAAAAAAATTTGAAACCATCAGAATTCTGCTAAAACAATTAGATTATTTGCTCTCAAGCTCATAATGTAATAATTAGTAAGTAAATGGTTGAACCCAGGAGTACGTACCACAGAGGCTTGTCTACTGAACTCGTACCANTTTTTTCAGGCTTCTTCTTTCCAATTGCTTAAATTGGAAAATTAACTGCGATGATCATTCTTCACTTTCCGAATGGCAACATTTTGTTGTTTCTCGGGAGCTTTGAAGGAACATTTATAAACAAATGGATAACCAAAAAAACAAATGGATAACCAAACCTGAGAAGAGTAAAAGTAGGACATTCACGGTTTCTTGAATTAAAAACTCAAAAGTGTTAAATGAAAATGATGAGTGCACATGCACAAAAATGACTTTCAGTTCACATGATTTTTTTTAAAGTGTGGATGAGAAAGAAAAAATTGGAAACCATCATGTGAAAGAAACAAAATTCAGTCAGAATTCTGCTAAAACAATTAGATTATTTGCTCTCAAGCTCATAATGTAATAATTAGTAAGTAAATGGTTGAACCCAGGAGTACGTACCACAGAGGCTTGTCTACTGAACTCGTACCACTGATGGTACTCCTGCAAAGGCTTGGTGACACTAGTTAGTGACACCCATGGTGCTCAGTTCTTTGCAGGACTATTCCCATCCGGACAAACCTTATCCCTCTGTCTTTCTATTGGTGTCCATTAATTAATATGTTAATTATTCACGTGCAGTTTTTGTTTTCCATGTTTTTTTCCCCAGGCCTGACTTGAAAGTGATCCTTATGAGTGCCACATTGAATTCAGAGATGTTCTCTGCCTATTTTGGTATGAAAACC